CCTACACGCTTCGGAGTCAAGCGTGTAGTTGCTCTAAGTAGGCTATCCAAGCGTCCGTAGTGTCGGTACTGCAAGCTCGGTATTGTGTCATAAGGTTGTATCCGACCAGTTGGAGAACGTAGGGACACTGCGGCAGGACCGATGAGTGGGTATCGAGCGTGCACGGAGAGACCCTTTTTAGACGTGTGGCGCCCTGATTATGTCCTTCTTGAGGAGTTGTGTAGACACCGGTAGCGACTGTGCAGCGGGAATACTGTAGGGCTGCTGTCGTCAGATGCTTATTTGAGCCGCAAGCACAAGAACTGGCACGTGTATGTAGAGGAAGGTTATGTGTGGTGAGATTGATCCACTTATTGGCGTGCGTAAGAAGAAGTCTTTAACACAATGTGTGATGGACCTGTATTGCAGTATAGCTTGTTAGCGTATTCATTCTTCACTTCGCCGAAGATATACACGATCAAGTTTCCTTCTGGTGTCTTCTCGTATCGGGTGGCTCTCCAAGGAACCACCATGTCTTTACTCTGGTAAGCATTGCAAATAGTCAGGTACGGTAAAGAGCCGGCCGAAGGTTTAACGCGGGTCGTATTCGTGACTCGAGGCGCTCACGCGACTTTGCCGTTGCGCATTTGGCGGGACCCCGGTTAGCGACTACTACGCTCGGTATGGCCGATGGACTGTTTCGATTTGTGATGATCATTTTGGCGCATTTCAAAACTCGATTGGAAAAGTAGGTGGTTAGTCCAATAGAATCGATACCTGCAATGTTCGTGTCGAATGCGCCGACGAGTCAGAGGCACTAACGGTCGCTAATATTAGCTGGTAACACGAGGTGTAGTCACTACGGAAGGATGTTACTCAGCTCCCGCCAAGCTAGCACTCTAGGCCGCACGCCCGCATCCTGCTGTGCAGAAACCTGCGACCCGATCTGTATGCATGAAGTCATCGCCGCCGCATGAAAGGATAGCTACAAGGTGGTGATGTCCAATGAAGCGTGTGGGCGTGGTGTTCGGAGAGTTTGTCAGCGATAGGGTTGCGCTCGCTTGATGAGTTAGTGGATGACCTTTGGCAGGGATGCCACTTTGTGGACTGTTCCTTCCTTCCAGAAGATTACCAAAGGCGGATGCAAGGCACGCCATTCAATGCGACCTTCCACGATGGTGGCCATCTGATCTCAGATATCGGGTTGCTACAGGTCTCGAGGGATTTGGACAGCGGTGAGGATGCCGTCATACAGCCACGTATACTACAAAGCCCGCCTGTGAATCTGATGCACTTCAAGGAAACCAGTCGGCACATGCAAATCGCAGACGCCATATGTTATTCCCATATTCATCCTAGCATGTCCATCGGTGACCAGAGCCGAGAGATCTGACCTCAAGTTGACCGACTTCAGCTGTTGCGGAGATGCGTCGGGCTCCGGGTTAGCCAAGAAGGGCCCTTAATTAGCCTTGTCTGCAGCAAATCTCTCTTAATTACCGGACTTTGCGATTGCTTCAGGTGAGTGCTTAACATATGCTGACACAATCGCGTTTCGCGGCAGGACAAGTTTGATATTTGTGTTCACCGCGAAACTAACTTCCCCTGCTTACACAATGCGTTCATCGCTGATGTAATCGTCTGCGATAGTCATCGAAAGGCGGCGAGAAGCGATCGCGGGTGGGTGAGTCACGGCTCGAAGACGTGTGGCATACACAGCGCCGATATACAAATAAATTGTACACACTGCACCGCGGTATTGACCAGACAACGACCTGAACATACGCCCTCATACTCACACTGTCTACGTGTTAGCCGTTGCAATGATTACGACTGCGCTCCAAGCTGCTCCTCGACACGAGAATATCTGTTGGTGGTGAGAGCTTCCTCGCGCAGCTGAATTACTTCCCGATATTGACAATGAGCGGTGTGGAGGTTTCCAGACAACAATAAGAGACCACACGTTCGTCATCTCTGATGGAAACAGGTATCAATATGAACGCGAACGCGAGTGTCGATAGACAACTGCGAACACGGTCTTACCGGCGAGTTGCCGTTCGTGACACAGAAGTTGTGGTAAAACTATTGTTTCGAGCGCGAGATACTGGCCTTAGTACGCAACAGTCGTAATCAGCACACTCGTGGTGCATGGGAGATAGATCATCGCGGAACAAGTAGTCGCTGGGCCGCCGATATAGTCGGCAAGGTTCGCCATTTCGGGCCATACCGTCCTTACGAATGGCGATGCGATACTACAAGTCGTGCCAAGGATGGTTCTCGAGACGCCAGGAGGTGTTCTCTTGAAATCAATATGAAGAGATACTGTTTTGGGACCGGGAGAGATGTGGAGTAATTGCACAATGCTTCCAAGCTTACACGTGTAAGGTTCTGTATCAGCGCATCGTTCTGCTTGACTGAGTGAGTAGACCGTCTCCAAGGCCAAAAGCTTTCTGTTAGCGATACGACAGACGATTCGGGAAGTTGCCTCAAACCATTCTGCGAGGGGAGGCCTGTTGAAAGGCTATTGCGAAGTCATGAGAATGAGGACGACGCAGGCACGTGACGTAGTCTAGCAGGACTGCCTCCGTCCAGACGATCAGTAAACAGAGTGCCATCTTCCCCTAGACGCGTTCCGCTTGCCCGCATTTCGCGAATCGAGGTGTCACGGCTAAGCCGCAGCTAGTCGGTGTGCAATGAAGTGTCAGCCTGGACGCACAGATGCCCAGATGCTGGTCAGAGCTGTGGCATGACGAACACGATGACGGACGAACAAAAGCAATTCTGCGCTTGCAGTAACATACCGCTGTGAGTCAAGAGATCTTTGTAGGTACGGTGAACATACCAGACGCCATAGGAGGTGTTGATCGCGATGGTTGAGCGGTCTGGACGCGAGATTGCTGCATGCAGCAGTCACGCTAACATCGCGTTCGCGTTGACGCCAGATCACATGCACGCGTCAATGACGTCAATCATGCTATCCAGTCACATCGCTTCTTTGTCCAAAGTGCATTGCGAGGTTCGGAGCGTTGCAGTAAAGTTTCGACTAGTACATCTAGATGCTCTTCCCGCGCCTATGTCGCCATACCTCTGCACACTAATCGGGAACCTGCATGTTAGATCTAAGATCGATCGCCTAGTGAGTGGAGTCTCCAGGAACTAGAGAGATGGCATTTGCTATTGACCATGATGTAGATGGCTGTGTGCCTGAAACTTCCCCATGTTCCGGTCCACTTGGTAGCCACAGCCATTGACGGCTCGCAGTGCACTATCACGGATCGAGAGGAGTTCCTGAACGACCCCTTTAATCATGACCTCTTCACTCAGCGCAAACGGCTAGTGAGAGCGACAGCGTGCCTGAAGCCTAGACTTCCCAGCCTGCGCGGCAGCGGGTAACGCAGTGAGACGAGAGATCTGCTAACCTCAGGCCCATGCAAGCATGCAGAACCCCGATCGTTGACGTAGCAAACACCATGACATGGACGTCGATCGTACGATACCTCGCATTGCGTCCTTGGAGGCATCCGAGATGCGCTATGTAGAGACAGCTAGATGTGTATAAGAACACCCGGGTTCGTCCACTTCACATTCATCATCCAACTCAAACATCTTCACAACTTACACACCACACTTCCAACCACCCACCACAAAACCTTTCTCCACACACATCAACATGTCTGCCAACCCTGGAAACGTCGTCGGAGGCCACAAGGCCAACCTCAACAACCCCAGTACGTATTCCACTTCCTCTTTTCGAAGCTCAAAACTGACATACTCCAGACACTTCCGACGAGTCCAAGCAGCACTCAAAGGAGGTGCTCCAGGAGATCGAGAACGGTGGTGACGCCAACGCTGTTTCCTCCTCCGGTGGTGACAAGAACCCCAACAACGTCGCCGGTGGCCTCAAGGCTACCTTGAACAACCCCAACACCTCTGACGAGGCCAAGCAGAGTGCTAAGGAGAGGCTCGGCCAGGAGTAAGCAGCTATGAAATCTTGATAGAGGCCTTGATGCCTATGGGCGGATCGAAGAGGAGGGAGGCATTAAGCCTAGACTCGCGACCCTGATCGTGCAGCTTTACCAATAAATGATACCAACAACACAATCCTGATCATCTGTATCTTGTCATGAACCCCTCTTATTCGCACACCTTTGCATGCACGTGTGCACCATACTCAAGTGTGTTATCAATCCAGAGCCAACTCTGCCTACTCTTGCTCCTTCCTAAGCAGCCCCATGACAACCTCGACCACCCTCCTAAAACCCTCCATCTCTTCCTCAACCGTTCCTCCCATACCCGCACTCGCGAAGCTTGAAGAGTTGCCCACATATACCGGCTTCCCCGTCTTGCGTGCGAGCACCTTGGATAGCCGAGTCGCGAAGTCTAGCGTTCCGCCGTGGGTGTAGAGAGGAGTGCTTAGGGTTTCGGCAGGTTTGGCTCTCTACGAACACGCGTTAGCACATACACTCGGGAGGATGAGAGTATTATATGAGGTGACTTACATTTGGCATCGCGTATACGAAAGAACCGAGTGGTGCAGAGGACGCGGATTCGGCAGTCGCGGTGGTGAGGAAGAGCAGTAGGTTTGGGCCATTGTTGGTGAGCTGGAGGTAGATGTTCGTGTGTGGCGCCTTCGGGAGCGGGAACGAGACTTCTATAGGCGCGCGCGACGCGTTGGTATCTGTAGTTGAAGCAGCCATTGCGGGTGTTGGCAGCGAGTGTGGAGAGGGAAGTTGCGATGATGGCCGGAGGCAGGTGGGGCAACATCGCGAACCTCACCCGCGAGATTATCCCCGCGACAAGGTCCTTGCGTGGGAGCGAACTCAATTAGTATTGCACACCACTACGGGTAGCTGTTCAATTCTAGTATCACGACATAGTCAAGGGCCACGAGTTTCCCTTTATATCACTCGCAGCCCACAAACTCCAACACTTAAGACAAGACCGTTGCGCAAACACGCCAAAACATAAGAAAGAGCCATAGGAGTAAGCAAGAGGTGCTGCAACATTGATTTGCCTCATAAAACATGGAACCGGAGATGCAAGAGCCCTACGACCCCTCCAACGACCCAGAAGAACAAAAGCTCATAATCTCAGTTCTAGACTCCTTCCGGTACACACCCACATGCCTCACCAATGCAAGCCAAAAGCCAAAAGTACTGATATTGTAACAGCTCATACCGCCGCCTCGCTCACTATAACGGAACACACCTCCGACGACGCGCCTTCTACTCCCTCCCACAAGCCCATTGGACACTGCTATCCCGGCCACCCTTCTCTATCCTATCAACACTCTCCCAAGTAGACGACTTAATCGACAGTAATGCTGAATTAGCTGAAGCCATCTTTGTAGCAGGCTTCAAAGCCTTCTTAGCACCCACTCTAGATAGTGAATGGGTCGCTTCGATAGTCCCTGAGAAATATGCACACGACGAGTACAAGATCTTCAACATCGTCATGGACGAGCTAGGAGCAAAGACCAGCCAAGGCGACGCGGAAAAAGCGCGAAGTTGCGTAAACCAGTTCTGGCGTGAATGGAGTCAAGAAGGAGCAGTCGAGAGGACCAAGTGCTTCGATCCAGTTGTAGCGGCGCTGGAGCAAGAGTTCGCGTCACGCACTGGAACAACCTCCGATTCAGATCGCGCGAATCTCAAAGTTTTGGTCCCGGGTGTGGGACTCGGTCGTTTGGTCTTCGATATCTGCAGTGCTGGATTCAGCGTTGAGGGGAACGAGATCTCGTACCATATGCTCATGGCGAGCGCGTTGGTTCTGAACGAGACTAAAGGAGCTGGGCAGTTCAAGATTGCTCCTTGGGCGCTGAATAGCTCGAATCATATCTCTCGGGAGGATCAACTGAGAACGGTCACAGTGCCGGATGTACATCCAGCGACCGAGCTGGCGAAAGAGGGGACTTCGAAAGTGCCGGCAAGTGAGCGAATGAGTATGTCAACGGGCGACTTTTGCGTCGTGTATGGCCGGGAGGATTACGCTAGCGAGTTCGATGCGGTAGCGACCGTTTTCTTCATTGACACTGCACCGAACATCATCCGCTACATCGAGGCTGTTCACAACTGTTTAAAGTCTGGTGGTCTCTGGATCAACCTTGGTCCTCTGCTGTGGCATGCGCCACCACAGAGAGACGAGGGCGAAGACGAGGCAGCAGAGGATGAAAGGAGAAGAGCCGACGTCGATGCAGGAATTGGTGATCCCGGCTCGGTGGAACTCACAAACGAGGAGGTGGTAGCACTGGTTGAACACTTTGGTTTTGTGATGGAGAAGGAAGAGCATGGGACCATTGAAACGGGGTATATTTCCAACACGCGCAGTATGCTGCAGTCTACATATCGTCCATCTTTCTGGATAGCAAGGAAGAAGTAATGAACCACTTGCACACGTATATCACAGATAACTCACAGTACTGTTCCGCTCGAGCGTCTCATCACGATGTCACAGATGTTGATGTCACGTCGGCAGAAACAGCTTTAGTTGTAGTGATTGTATTGTAAATTGATCGTTCACGAGAAATGGCAAAGTAAAGTATCAAGAAGAGGGGAACCTGCTGCCTAAGCCTCGAAACCAAAGCAAGAGCGAATATGGTATCATGCAACAAATATACAAAGAAATGCAAACGAGAAACCAATTCGTACGCTCAGTTGGAAAAACTTCTGACAGGTGTATAATGTGACAGAAGGTCAGAGACTGGCATGACAAGCCTACGAAGGTGGCAATAGAACTCAGGCGACCATGGTGGGACCTTTGCCTTCAGACCCACCCAACCGAGCATTGGCATGTGCAAGGCTAGACTGTGCAGCTTCTTGGAGCTGCGTCTCTACATTCCTTTCCCGTTCCCGCTCGTGGGGGGTATTGCGGCCCGATGGTACCCTTGCATCGTGTGAACCATCGCGCTGCTGTGGGGGTGGTTGCGAATGCTGGTCTGACGGATGATGGACTTGCTGATGCTGCGGAGTGTGCTGACCGTTACCGTGCGGCATGTGTGATGGCGTAAGCCCATGATGCGAAGGACTCATCATTGCAGCGGGACTCGCCGTGCTCGCGCGGTCGCCACTCTCGTGGTCACTAGTCTCACTCTGGCCATTGCTGGTGGTGCCAGGTGGGTACGTGTATCCGCCGCGCAACTCTCCTTCTTTGACCTCTTTCCACGAGCATTTGGCATGTTTCTTCGTACAGCCAACACATGCTGTGAGATTCTTCAGACAGTCCATGTGTAATCTCCGGCAGCGATCACACGGTGGTATTATGCGCTCACCCTTGGCCAACCCCTCCATCCTGTGTACCATCTCAACCTTGAAAGGGCCTCCATCGTCCTTTTCGGGTTGCTGACTGGCGCGTTGACTTGAGGCGGGAAGCAGATTGGATGGAGTGTTTGGTATCGGCACGGGCGAGTTCATCATGGAATGCAGCTCAGACTCGTTGAGGGGTTGCGATGGTCTTGCAATGTGTTGCAGGGAACCCTGAGGGCCATCTGCGGGCTTGGGAACAGCCCTTGTGGGTATCGCTGCCGGGGTGGAGGGGTGAGAGTTGGTATGGCTGCCTACGGACGGCCTTCGCACATCAGCTGTGCTACTGGGGGGCTGCGAAGACGAACTCCGGCCATTTGTGGTGTGGAACTTGGCTAGCAATTCATGCCGGGTGGATGATGAAGTGCCATGGCCGCGGCTATGACCGTGGCTGTGACCGTGACCGTTGGCTTCATGGTGTTGACGCGCATTGACAGCGACAAAACCACCGCCGCCGCCAGGTGATGTCTGGGAAGCCTGAGTGTGCGGTTGGCCGTGCGCCTGGCCGTACCCTGAGCTCGGGGCGCTCGAGCTGCCACCATTCATAAGGGCGACATTCGAAGGGCTTGTGGGCCGGGGAATGGTAGGCGCTGGGCTCGCGGTCGCTCGTCGATCGAGGATAGCCTGCTTACGGCCCTTCAGTCTGTGGTTGAGCTGCCGAGTGCGGGCAGCGACTGCGCGATGTTAGCCAATGTCGATGTTGGTTAGTGATGGTCGGTCAGACTCACCCTGATCGGCAAGTGAACATATCTGACTGAGATTCTTCTCCAGTATCTCCATTGTACCCAGCTCCTTCTCCTCGTCTTCGATGATGGGCTGGGGTGGAATCATTTTTTGCGGGATGCCAGATGAGATCAAGACGAAATCCTCCTCTGAGATTTGGACCCTACACTGCTTCGTGTAGAACTGGCAGACGCGCACGCCTTCGCTCATCTGATCCAGCTGGAACTGCTCCGGCTTGTTGCGCGCAAACTCGACCACGTCCAGCCAAGTCACAGTGGTCCCATCCTTTCCGTGACTCTTGAGCACGCGCGGTGGTCCGTCGAACAGCCGCTCGAATCGCTTGATCAGGATGGGTCCTAGTGGTCTTGCGCCCAGGTTGCAGGCCATGCTCTCATGGCGATCGAGCACGCCCTGGTAGTCGCTGAGGACTGAGAGGATGTTGGGTAGGGTGTCATCGTTCGTGATCAGCGGCAGGTCCTTCTCGAGGTGTCGTGCGAGGTAGTTGATCTGGAGGTGGTTGTGGGTCTTAGCGGCTTTGGGGACAGGCGCGGCCGCAGCCAGGTGCATCTCATGCGAAGGACTGCGTTTGCGCTTGAGGTCGGCGGGCAGCGGCGGCGCATGGTGTTGCGGCGGATGCGACGACATGGTGCGCTCAGCCGCAGCGTGCGAGTCGGCGGTGGCCATACCTTGGCTTGGGTGGGAGGGATACCAGGTTGGTGATTGCTGCGAGGGCGGAGTGGACGGATGGCAGAGATTCGAGGGTGGAGCGGAGTGCGCTAGGCGATGAACAGCTCACAGCTCAGCACACTGCAGGCGCTCGCGTCTAGTCGCGAAGGCCCGAATTACAGGACAAGATACATCACGCAGAGAGAATCGCAGCGAGAGATGCGAGGGCGCGGGTGGAAAGCCAAACGGCTGCTCGGTGGCTGAAGTGCTCCGAACGGAAGGCAGAGGGGCGGACAAGGGAAGGCACGCAGCGCACCGGAAATAAGAAAGAGCTTTGCAGCGTACGCCTCCCACCCAATCAATACGCGTCTGCAGCTAGCAGCGGCCCCGGCGCCGACCTGCAATGAATGCGCATCGCTGATGATTCAGATTCTGCCGACCCGACCACGACAGCCACTGAGCGCCCTGTCACGGGCGGACAGTCACGACAGCCTATTTGCAGACGCCCGCAAGCCTGTGGCAGAAGTGTGTGAGGTGCCGTCTGAAGAAGAGGCCGGCACCGAGCACCCCGGGCTGGCGTCGTCGTCGTCTGGAGGGATGACGAAAAATGCCGCAGGCCCACGCGTCCTGGGTGAATCTAGCTGCTACGATGCAAGCGCCACAGCACGGCGGAGGTCTGGAAGCATGGCGGAAATCATGTTTCCACCCCTGCGTCGCCTGACACCAAAGCCACGCACGTGACCGGAATGTGGGGTGGGAGGAGCCTTTCCCGGAGCGGCACAGACCACCACCTCTTACTGGGCGCGGCTGCTGCACGTCACCACAAGCTTCAACATCCAAAACGCGTCTCTCCCTCTCCACGCTACTACCATGTCTGAGCGAGGCGCATTCCGGGGTCGAGGCGGAGGTCGGGGCGGCGACCGCGGGGGTCGAGGTGGCGGTCGTGGCGGTGCACAAGCGGGCGGTGCAGGCGGACAGACTGAGCGCCCGAAGAAAGAGAACATTCTTGACCTGAGCAAGTACATGGACAAGCAGATCACCGTCAAGTTCAGTGGCGGACGTGAAGGTATGCAGGGCAGGACAATTGGGAAGGAGCGCTGGGAGCTAACCTCTTGCAGTCATTGGCACGCTCAAAGGCTACGACCAGCTCATGAACCTTGTCCTGGATGAGGTCAAAGAGGCCCTGACTGGTATGTTCTTAAACATCGCGTTCAAATTGACAAAGCTGACTTGACCCAGACGAGGACGGCAACATCCGGTATCGCAAACTTGGCCTAATTGTCGCGCGCGGCACCCTTCTGGTCGTCATCTCGCCCGTCGACGGAAGCGAAGAAATCCCCAACCCGTTCATACAAGAGGAGGAATGAGCAAGAGATGAGCGATAGAGATTCTTCAGACTTAGGGCGAATTGCTCTAGGCAGAGCAGCGGCGAGGATCTGGGCCCGGGGACGTTGCACGGGCAGTGATACCCAGTACGATACCCACGAGGCAGATGCAAAACGCAATCACGACACAGATGTGGTGTCCACAAAATTACAGCTTGTCAGAGTCTTTATGCTCTTGAAGCCAACGGCCAATCAATACACAAAACTTATGAAGTCTGGTCAAAATCATCACTTAGATGATCGAGTTCAATTCTTTGAGACACGAAATCGTACGGTCACATCATGAAATTATGGATAGGCTCACTACAGAAGCCTTACTGACTTTGGAATACTTGCGGCTGACCCTACCAAGCAGATTATGTCAATCGTCGCGATAGGTGTTGACTACATAGCTTCTATTACCAACAGCGAACGTGTTCTTGTCGTTAGCCCTCTAGATCTGATTACTTCCGGGATTTATTTCTGCAGTCAAGAGTTTGTTTTCGACTCTATCAACGTCATCGTGCTAAATGTGTGTCGGTCGATCGCAACGTCGGAATGTTCGGAATGCTGTTCCGACACTGCTCCTTTCACTCAACACAACCCCTCACCCTTTCACCATCGGCGATCACCAAGCAAAGTCTGATCGAATCGCAGGACACCGGATCAAATTGCCGACGTCAGGTACCCGCTCTTCTCAGCAGAGCCCATTACCACAGATGGCTGAACTAGCGCAAGTCTGCATGACGTCGAGTTGATGTCAAAGGTGGTGACGCTATCATATGGGATTATAGAAAGCCCATGATGAAAGTTTACTTCACATAGCACACGACACTCATCTTTCTACCCAACAATCTTCATATATATCCATCCACTACATTACTTTTCAAAGCTCGCGATTTATATCAAATACACATTGCAAACATGAGCCAGAACCAGAACCCCGACGCTGTCAGCGACGGCCGTCAATTCGCTGGACACGTCGCGCCCAGTGAGCCCCTCATGAAAGGTGGTGTAAGTACATGCAGACCTCCCTCGACATCGTTGCAGAATTTTGCTTGACAGTCTTCTGAACCCATCGGAGCCTCCGTCAACACTACCAAGCTCCAAAACACATCATCGTCGAACCCGACTAACAAACCTAGCACCAACCCGGGAAGCTCGTCGGCAACGACGCCGTCCCCGAGTTCAACGCACAAACCCTCCCCGCCGGCACCGCGCCAGCATCCAAGACCTTCCAGCCCAACCCCGACCTAAACAACCAGAAGATGTACCACGACGCCTCCGACACCCTCCAAGGCGCCACTTCAGGTGACGTCCACACTGGTCTCGGTCAGCCAGTCCAAGGCCAAACATCGCAAGAACTCCACGATGGTTCCAGCAAGGGCCAGGGCCTGGCCGGCCTGGCTAGCGGCGTCAAGGACCAGACAACTGGTGGTGATATCAGGGAACTGAAGGATGACCCTGCTCATGCTGCTCAGAGGAATCTTGATGATGTGCCTACTGGTCAAAGGGGTAACGTTGGTGGCCCCCCTGCTGAGGAGAGGGAGCCTTCATCTGCTTAGGTGCATTTGTTCACGAAGGATGATTGTATGTGCGTATCACTTTTAGCAACGCTGTATTGATCAGTCTTTGCTGAAGTGTAAAAGTTGCCTTGGATGCTATAAGAGCCCATGGCTAGATAGAAGTAATGAAATAAACGACTAAGGATACTACATGACCGTTGACTTCCCTGGTGAGCTGAGGGAGGGTTTTTTGTATTCACCAAACACAAGCTTCATAACCCGTGGGAAAATGCAGTCGACCCCGTCAACACCGTACCACACAACTCGGGAGTCTTTTCGAAAAATTCTTGAAGCAGTTCAAGCATGGTAGTTTCACTCCCTGGATAATGTTACCAGACCATTCCGTCGAACAAAGTCATCGATGTACATACCTTGTGGGCCAACCACGCCGATGGCACCTGGGAGGTATTCTACATTGCCCGTGACTGACGAGACATACGGATACTGGCCATCTGCAACATGTGAGTAAAGCGTTGGAGAACGCTTCCATGGATCGTGGCTTACAGGGAATAGTGAAGAACGGTAGGCCCGCAAGAACAGGTATATGGCTTGGCTTGTAACCAAAACCTTGCTTCTTGATTGCACCTTCTTCCAGTGATCTCCTACGCGAGGTCAGCTTGTTTTACCTCCTCCGTCACATACTCACTTACTTATGATATTCATGTCGATACATAGGTTCCGTATCTCCACTCGCGAAGATGAGCATCTTGTCCAAACTTTTTCCATCGGATGGCGGCGGTAGTATTGCAGTACGTATCCAGTCCCTAAAGGTGTCACGCTCCTTGACGGCTTGCTCATATTGTTCTACCGTAAGGTCCTTGCCAAGAGACCTGACCGAACGATTAGCTCAAGTTTACCCCGTCTCCACCGTAATGACATACCATTTGTACTCGATATAAGGATCGGCAAATGCCTTCTTATGGAACTCCTTCTTGTAGTCTCGTGCGAATGTCTGACAATTCTGATAGCAGTCATATAGCTGGATATGAGCAACAGTCTGCTATGAGTGTCAGCAAATGTGCGAGAGGATAGCAGCGGAGACGTTCACGGTATCTAGATAATTCTTCAGTGAAGCTCCGCCAGCGATGCTTTGCCGCCTGAATAGGCCATCTATATCGAGCTTCTTTCGCTTGACCTGCAGGAAGTCTTCCAAGTGACGCATGAAACGCCCTGTATGGGATAGATACTTGTTTTGGCATTCAGAAAAGATATCAGTTGGGTACAATAGCTCGATTCCGGCCGCGCACGTTGGCTTGGTACTCTCGCGAGCACATAGCGTTCGAGACATCGTGGTAGCCATCTGAATGCTACGCGTGAAGAATCCGATAGTGTCGAGTTCTCTGTTCGTGCGTCAGTCTCATTTTCAGGTAGGAGTAAACTCTTCATGCTTACTTTGACACTGGTACAATCCCCTCCGTCGATATGCCACCTAAGGATAGGCGAAGTCCAAATAAGCCGTGATCGGCTGCAGGGCCTACTACGCTTCCAAATGCTACAGGCGCATTAGTCCGATAGAAGCTTCGAACGAAAAGTGAGCTTACTATCAGTCCCTAAAGTGGCATCTATCCAGTCATACGCTGACACAGCTGTAGCGCTTCCTGTGCTACTGCCACTAGGTTCTTGATACCCATCGCCCCTAGGATTAAACGGTGCAGAGTAGTCAATCCAATCCCGCGCATTCTCTCCAGAGGCGAATTGGACTGTCTTTGTTTTGCCTACAATAACTGCACCTGCCTCTATAAGCTCTTGAACACAGGCGGCGCTGCGTTCTTTCTCGGGATACAAGGTCTGGTAGGCCCGGCTGCCAGCGCTTGTTCGCACACACTTCAGATCGATGTTGTCCTTGATGGCTATCCTCATGCCAGATAGAGGCTTGGATTTGGAGGGTTCGTCGTAGTAGCAACGGCTAGGGACTGGAATCGCAGCTGTTCCAGGGATGTTGTACCTAGGGACAAGCTGTCAGCAGAGCCAGCTGCGGAAGAAGCCTCATGTTGTTGAGGCAAGGGGGTGGGTACATACTTATCTTCTCCATGCTCATCAGCCACTACCGGATACTGGAAAGCTTCGTGCGCGTCGTCAAACAGGCGCCATGCCTGACGAATGCCAGCGTTGGAGGCAAAGTATGGTCCACTGCGGAAGCTAACTAGGTCTCTAGTTGAGTTCACCACCACGGTGTGGACGCTTCGATTTTCCCACTCTTCCGGTATGATGATGGTCAAATCGTCCAGGTCGGATTTGGTGTTTGCAAGACACAAGAAGTACACGTGTTGCAGGAAACGCTTCTTGAACACATCGTCTGTTTTGAGCCAGGACTCAGTGGTGGAGAATAGTTTGCCTTCTGACGCATCCATCACGTTCTCAAGAACGAATAGAGTGATTGGAACAAGTCCGTCATTGAATTCAAGCTCGCTGCCAAAAATACACTTGCGGGAATCTGGAGAGATTGACGTTAAGCGTGATGGTATGTAGTACGGAATCGCTCCGACGCGAGTCAGCGTCGCAGTAGGAGTGGCAGACATTATGACGATTGTTAGCTCGCATGCGAGTGAAGAATATGCAGAGGTATATCTGAGAAGTCATCCAGGCATCAGGAGAGGTCTACGAAAGGTGTGAGTATTTTGTTTGTACGACATCCGCTGTTGGTCAATGCATCTCGGGTATCGTACGTTCACCTTCCTGTGTGAAGAAACTAGAAGAGTTGTTTGGCCTTGCAAACGCAAGAGTGCTCGAGCAAGATGGTGCAGTAAGCGTGTTACTATGATGCTACTTAAACATTAAATTATCTCCTGCTGCCCTGAGGACCAGACAGGATGCATCCGTCAGCACACTCCGGATCCGTGCTGTTGTATGCGATTTGCCCTACACTGCCACCAGGCTCGATGCTAGGGTCACGCGGGCTCTGGAACATACGTCCAGTCTCTGGTGACAGTAGCGTCTCGATGATATCGCCGAAGGGGTTGCGGATATGAGCAATGGGCTGGCCCTTGGTGACCGGCTCGTCGACTTGTACAAGCCTCTCGACAAAACCTCCGTACTGCGACCAGGTGTCGTGGAAAGTGGTGATCATGTATGTGTTGCTTAGATCGGGCTCCACGGTCTCGTTTGTGCCCGTCATCTTGAGGTCGACCATGACGCGGTTTACGTAGTCGACTACGCGGTCGATGAGGCTGTTGTTCCAGACCTTTGCTTGTCCCATTTCTACCGTGAGCGAGGGGATGCCATAATCGACAAAGGTTGTCTCGATGGAGCCTGGCTCACCAGGATCGATCTTGAGGGTATCGGGTTGGAGGAGTTTGGCGAGGCGCTCGACGTAGGGGAGGCGGAAGTCGGAGTAGCACCATAGCGAGGTCTCTCCGCCGGAGCTGGGTGTGTCTAAAGCATGTTAGCTGCGTTTTACCAGGCATTGAATTTTATGAGCTTACGCAGGTCAATGCCAACGTCAACATTTGATGTGTTGGCCCAGATCTGGTTCCAGATGTTGTACGCCAAAATATCAGGACCACTGCCTCCTTCCATGGCCGAGACACCTGGGAAGATGCGGTTGACGTTTGTGAGAGAACCACTGGCGCCAGAGGTGAAGTAGTTTCGCTGGTTGAGGTAGATACCCATGGGGTTGACCGTCGGAATACCAATAACTGCGTACACGTTAGCAATGATCTCCATGAAGATTCATAGTACATACCTGTGCCATTGAGCGTCGCGACTTGGTCCTGGAGCTGCTCGAACATGCGCTGAACCACGCGAACTGGGTTCAGCTCATCGCCGTGGATCGAAGCCGAAAGCGACAGCTTCTTGCCCGTGTGCAGACTCTCCGGGGTTCCGCGCGCAACCATGATGGGGATATGCACGGGGTGTCCGCCATTGAGCTCGCCAGCTCGCATGTAGTACTTGGAGACGGTTTGCGGAGGCACGTCAGCGAGGTCGAGACCGCTGATGACCGGGACGCCGTTCACGACATCGCCCGTGAAGTTTACAGCAGAAACGCTGCCGGCGAGGACTGCCGTGGCTGCGGCTACGCGAGAGATGAGCTGCATGGTCGCGTTAGTTGGCTGAGGCTACGCAGGTACAATTGACATGGCCGACTCACCAGCTCTGCTTTATAGTGCTGACTTCTCGCGATAAGAGACCAGCCATGGTAGTTCCACGGTCCATACTAGCTCCGCTCTTTGCGCAAAGAGGAAGGTCCACATGGGTTTTGTCCACTCGAGTGACGATGCCCAGAGGCGACTGCATGCCAATGCTCGGCGCGCCTGGAGGGCCGAACCCAAGTTCGCGGATTGCGGTGCAATTTATCGTGGCATGAGGCCGGTGCCTGGCGATCATATTGTGCCGGATACATGCGGATAGTCACAAGTTGAGAACACAATGGCTCTTAAGGCAAAGTCGTGTTCGTGGACATCGAGCTGATATTGTGGAATCCGTAGCTCACGCGAGTCATGTAGCGCCGGTATCGATAAGCTCACTGTCAGCACTGGACATCACGGTGACCGTCAGACCTTCAAGCTTTTCACCAATTTCGGCGTATCGGAAGTATTCATGTTGTACCTACGAACCTCATCTACATGTGACCTTCGCGTTCGTTAGCCACGCGTTGACATGATCGCTCCCGCCGTTCGTTACGCTCGCCATAGCTCATCCCATTGCTCCTGTCTTGACCTGAAGTCTTCTATCTCTTGGGCTGAAAAGCCACAGCGTTCAAGCTCTTCTTCTATCTTTAGCTCCCCCGACTTCTTCGAGCAGAAAGAGAACAGGGAGGACACTGACGAGATTGCGCGAGTGACGATGTTACGCTTTGCTTTGGGACGTGGAGGGAGGTCCGCTGGGAAAGGAGTGAAATAGTACGCGGGATTAATGTTGTTTGCCATGTCTAGTGGAGTAAGTTGAAGCGTGTTCTAAGAGAAGTGTCAACGACGAAGCGATTCGAGCCGTAACGAGAGGGCTGTAGCTCTAGAAGTAGCGAGAACCTCACACTGAGCACTTGATTGTAGGAGAAGCACGCAAGTGAAAGCTTCATACGTCAGTCGCAGAAGCGCCTGCCGCCTATATACACCTCAGACAAGGGAAACACCAAACAGGTCTTCAGACTATACCACGATGGGAACTTGCAAAGTATCACACCCCCAATAATGTAGGCTCTAGAATGTTCAATCTGTTTCTTGTATTTGGTGCATACTTACGCGCAATCTCCTTAGCTGCGCATAAAGCACTAGTAGCTCCCAAAACCTGAGCTCTCGCAAAACATCCATGTTCATACGATGCTAGACTTTAGACATGCCTTGCCATACGTCCGTAAGTATCCCCGTTCATCTTCATAGCTTCCGCTTCTCCAACCCTGCGCTTCACACCCGCATCCCTCTCAGACGCGTTCTGCATCAAATTGTCTACTCCTCACGGGTCACAGCCCAGTGAATGACAATCCCAATAATACTGCTCAAACAGATTCCAAGCATAATCAAGAGCCAGAACATCAGGCTTCGAGACCGGCCCGCATCTTGAGAGCGCGCGGCTTCGCCAGGTGCAGCCATCTCGATGTCGGGCGTTCGGTAAGTGTGGTCGTGAGACACTTGTTTGTCGGTCTGAGCACGGCGCGCAGATGAACCTTGCATCCGCTTCAACAACGACTGCTTGGCCGGAGGGCGCGGCGGAAGTTCGGTTGGGAAGATAGAGGAGACCTGTTCTGGCGATGTACGTGGAAAAGAGGTGTAGTATTGCAGGTGTCCAGATCGAATGCAAACTGGTGCAGGCAGATGAGTGTTGCGCTTAGCAGAGCCGGGGCGAGACTTTTCTGCGTCCGCGCTTTCGGTGACGGTGTCCATGGGTTCAGGCTTCGTGTGCTCTGATAGCGATGCACGTGGGAAATACATGTAGCCTCGTCCAGATTGAATGCAAATTGGTGGAGGTAGATGAGTGTTGCGCTTAGCAGAGCCGGGGTGAGGCTTTTCGCCGTCTGCGGTCTTCATAGCGGAGTCCACGGGCTGAGGCTTTGTGTGCTCTGATAGCGATGAGAGGACGACGTCGGCAATGTCATGAGGTGGGGGTTCGGCAGCTGCTACAGTAGAAGAGGTGGTTGTCCCTTCTGTAGCCGCAGATGATCCAGAGGTCGACATGGCCGTTGCTATCTGACCGGCTTCACCGGTGGGAGTCTCGTCTTCGACTGTCGGGAAGCGACGGGGTTCATCCATTGGGGGAGTGAGCTCGGCAGGAGGAGTCATGGCTCTTGAGAAGGGTTATGATTCAACCTGCTGGTGTGGTGTAGGTCAGAGTTGAGAGTCAAAGGTAATGAGACGCGTTTGATGCGACACAAACTTGGGCTTGAGTAGTGGGCCCGTTTATCGGAGGTGAGCGCTTGTTTTGAACTGACCCTTTCACTGACTTTGCGCTCCCCGGAATGGTGAAGCCGCAAATAGCCAGCAAGGGAAGTCATTTCATCATTCACTGACTTATGTGGTCTGCCGTAACCTGGCTCAAGCATGTGGAAGGAGGAAGAACGACAGGGAAACTGAGCAAACACTCATGGGACGTGACAATAGAAACAGTTCATTACAAAGCAGTACTATTAATCCAGACATGCGAAAGAGAACTACCCATGACATACCATAGCCCCGTCATCCGTATGCCTCTCTGCAATCATAACAGCGTCCGCCCTACTCAATATCGACCTTTCGGATCTCAACGTATCCAGAGTCTAGCTTTGGTACTTCGACTCTGAGCACACCGTCCTCCAACTTCGCCGTGATACCGTCGGCATCAACACTGGCAGGGTTGGCCCTCGTCCCGAGGCGGATTTTTCTCTCGAAGGCTCCAACCTTACGCTCGTTCAGAGCCAGTGTCTTCAAGAACTCTTCGTCACCAGGGCGGTATATCACACCAGCGATACTGAGCTCGCTCTTCTCAGCATCCCAGTTTACACCAACATCTTCCTTCTTGGCGCCGGGCAGCGAGACGTGAACGACGTAGGCAGACTCGGTGTCAAAGATATCGGCGTCGGGTGTGTAGTCGTCGGCCTCGGTGGGCTTTGTAGCGTTGGCGGTGTTCGAAGGATGGCTGTCAGTGAACTGGCTGAACAGCTGGGCAGCAAGGGTGGAGGGGTCGAAGGAGTTCCAGGCGTTACCACCGGCACCAAAAGGTCCGCCACCCATGCCTCCGAAAGGTCCTCCGCGTGCCCATGGCCCCCAGCCTCCGCGGTGGCCGCGATGGTGTGGTCCATGACGAGGTGGACCTCCGTAGGGATGAGAGTGGTGGTGTGGGCCGGAGCCTCCAGGACCGCCCTGACCACAGCGCCCTCGACGTCCTCCACCCCAGCGACCATGTGGGCGGCCGCCGCTGTGAGCGTCATTGTCGGAGCCAGAGTTGCCCGATGGGCCTTCACCGTTGTCATACTCGGCGTTCATAGTAGCATCCTTTTCGGCTTCAGGTTGGTCATTGCGTTCTTGGTTCGACTCGCCGGTAGCTCTCTCATGACGATGTTCGGGGCGACCATGAGGAGGCCCGCCATAGTGGGGCATTCCCCTTTCGCCACCGAAGAACTGACCCCATCTGAACGGTGTAAAGGGATCCTGAGCGTCTTGGGTTGGCATCTCGCGATCGTTTTCGGTACCGTCGTTACGGTTCTGTGTAAAGAATGGGTGTTGCGAGCCTTGCTGCTCGAGGCCAGCGACGAAGTCCCAGAAGGGAGCGGAATTGTTCATGTACGTGACTGATGGCATGATGATGACTTGTGTTGTGAAGTAGAAGGAAGTGCGGTGTTTGATCTGAATGTCATAGCCTACCTTTTTCGGCGTCTTATACAAAGCAAACGGTTCCAGGCATCAGGTCGCACGTGCGAACGTACGTATGTGCCCCCCTCCTCTGACTTACTTGCCACCCATATGAGCAGCGTTTCGGTTTACCAATCGCGCCATTTGCTTGCAGAAACCAATCACCCATCATTTTGGGAAGTCAAAAGAAGGATAAAGAAATAACCAGAAGGACCATCGACGATAGGATTCCAGGCCGCGTGCCTCGAGTGTCGCCTAGCAGGGTGGTGAGTAGGCAAACGGGCGTTGCGCGTCCAGACGGCTGGCGGGTCGGGGCTTGATTTCCTCCGATGTGGCGGTGGCTGTGGCGGTGGCTGTGGCGGCAGGACTGTGATTGGCCACAGGCATTGCACGGTGGTGTACGCTGGGCTCTCGGGATAGGTCAGGAACGCCGGCGGAGGTATCACTTGCCCGCATGCAAAAGCAAAAGGAGAACGTGTTGGAAAGATTTCGAAAGGAAATGCGCGGAGGTGCTGAGGGTTGTAGGGGTGTCGGGAGTGGTGACAAGACCACTGTATACGACGCGTGAAATCAAGAAAATTCCACAAGTATTGTACCATGTTGCAGTATACAGCATGATTTGAGAGAGACACTTTACGTGGTCTGGAGTATTATAGCCGCCCAAGGTCTTGTATCTCTTCCCTAAGTAGGTAAACATACGGTTGTCGGTCGTGTGGTAGGGGCCAAGCGAAGAGCTACAGTCCTGTGTATCTCTATACAAGGGTACTGAAGACAAAGAATGCACTCAGATGTCACGATACATGAGGATGAGGGCGCCTAGTGGCGATGTCGAGCAGTCGCGATGCGGAGGAGGGGTAGCTGCAGCTTTCCGAAGTGCAGGTTGCTATGACGCCATTAGTCTGCAACAAACTGCGCGCCCCACCAAACTTCTTCTTCTGCCCACGACCCTGACGACCAATCTTCATTATATCACCCGTAAACCCCATAACCAATTAAGAAGACCCCAATTGTACCACCCAAACCAACATGTCTGGATCCATCCCCACCTCCACCTCGGTCAGCGAGTCAGCCGTCATCGACGCGTCTTTCAGCGATGTCTGGCACCTGATCAAGCTCCAGGACTTCAGCAAGTTCTGGTCCAAGCTCGACAAGAGCGAGTTCGTCAAGGGCACTTCAGAGGAGACGGACATCGTCAAGTGGACCTTCAAGGACGGCGCCGAGCTTGAGGTCAAGCAGGAGGAGCACTCGGTAAGTGATGCATCGGTGCAAACAACACC